AATGAAGGCAATCAAATCGATTGGAAAAATTAGAAGTTATGAATTTTAGAAAATGGTGCGAAAGAACTTTCGGGACGACCTAATATATGCAAAATAAGAGGATAGGATCGTGATGGATTTGAGGATGGTGTGTGGTTGGCGGAGACCGCCCCAGAGAAGAAGGTCCGTTTGACGTTGTTGTACACCGCAAATGCTCTTCCCATGCCGTGCCATTCAAGCTCTCCGCACACCGTACGTCTCCGCCCTTGAACGAGATGAATCAGCGCCGTAGGCATAGTGGAGAATAAGCTGAGCAGCGCAAAAGCGCCGCTCTTAAAGGGTGTTTACAGGAAAAAAGAGAATAAAGGTTATAGATCTGAGTAACAAACGCGAAATACAGTTGGGGACTGAAGAAGCACTGCATTGGATTTCAAATCTTTCCTTTGGCGACCTAATGCGCAAGTTCTTGCTACAGGGTACGGTCAAATTTTAGGAAAAACTGAGTTATTTCGGAATTTTGAAACCGAATGCGGCTCAGAGTGGCGATTATTGAAAGATCATCGAAAATTACTAGCGAAACCTTAGTGTGGTGGTTGGTAGGCTTTATTGTAGCCTTAGGCGGATGGGTGGTACCTGTAGTGAGTATGGTGGCTTCTGATGTGTTATTAGAACACGTAAGCTATTAGAGCTTTATTGAACAGACGACATGCATCCATTCGTGCAGTGGTAGAATGCTGAGGATTGAAGGCGTGGTGAGATAGTATCACAAACATCTGGGCAATAATACACTCATATCACAGCATGTCATGCTTATGGCATGACCTTTACGGTGCTTAGCAAAGATAATGATAAGTTGCAAGGAAGGTGCCGACAAAGTCGGCACACTCCGGCCAGCGAGGGTAACAGAGAGTAAAAATGTACAATTCACGAAAATAGATAACACTTGGATATACAGGGTGTCCGTAAACACACCGTTTGATCGTTAATATCTCTTTTCCCAAGAAGTCTTTTGCCTTGCTTCAGGTACCATTTTGTAGAGCTGGCTTCAACTTAGATTTCAGTATGGAGCGAGTCACCCATCTCTCTTCATTACTGTAGGATTACCGTAGAAGCTTCAAAGAGGGTTTTGAGCCATGAAAGGCCATATTTTGCCAGAAAGGGATAAACAGCCTGAAAACTTTTACACTAAGCTAATTAGAGTTGCTGATTCTAATTGTGAACTTTCTAACTTATTATGATGTTTCATTGAAGAGTTGTGCCAGGTAAGAGGTAGCGGCCATTTTTTCAATGTTCCTAAAAAGTGCGGTTGCACCGTTTGGAAAGCTTCGCAATTTTGTGAATAGTTGACTATTGAAGTCAGCGTCCATGAAAACCATATTACAGTTTTTACATTTTTTGAAAAATTTTTTGAAAACGGTAGCTTTTTCCACATTGACACCATATGTTTCAAGTTTCTATCGTAATCCTACAGTAATGAAGAAGGATGGGTGATTCGTTTTACACTGCCTAAGTTAAAGCCAGCTCTACAAAATGGTACCTGAAGCAAGGCAAAAGTCTTCTTGGGAAAAAAGATATTAACGATCAAACAGTGTATACATACTTTACGGACACCCCGTAAAGCAATACATATTTGTCGGGATATCGTAATGGACGTTCCTGAGCAGCTAGGCAGATAGGGTCGGAGTTCAGATTGATGTAGTCATGACAGCTGGCCTGAGATGGTGACGAAATAGACTATGGTAAGGCAGAGTATCGCAGATCATCATGACGTAGTTGACTTTCATTTTTGAGCAACGAAAATACAGAGTAAGGATTATGAGTCGGAATCTTCTTACTGTTTGTAGGTTGTCGCTTCATAGATTTTCTTCCGAATACATCATTGCATTTATTGGATCGTTTTTTAGTCGTGATCGCTTGCGAGTTCAGTCTATTCTCTGTTGCTGGTATAGTGCCATCCATGGCATCTCCGCGGGCCACAGTTGTGCAGTCTTCAAAATATTGACTGAGGCGATCTTCACTTTTATTGTCTTCTTCCATTGTCGCGAAATCCATCATAATTGCTAGAGCATCCGTTTCCCTTTCCGCATCACGTAAAAAATGTTTGAAAAAACTGGATTGCTGCTCTTCAACTACTTGATTTGATGCAAAATTCTTGTATGTTTTTGCATATACTATCTGATATTCCAGCGATAGTAAAAACATTAGCATTAGAAAGCAACTGGTAAAAGTCAAGCTCTTTTTCAAGCTCTTCTAGTTGGAGTATGACAGTTTTTCTCTCGCTTTTAGACTGCTTAAGATAAAATTCTCCAAACTGGTCGACTGTTGAGTCCAAAACTGTCGCTCTTGCTTTAACTTGTGAAAGGCAAGAAAGGAGAATATCTAAGTTTTCGAAACATTTCTTTTGAAGCTCTCTATCAATTTTTAAAGTGAATTTGAGCTTGAAGTTGTAGGAGTCAATTTTTTGAGCAGATCTGCTAATGCTTTTGAGTGAAATGAGATTGCCTCTTTGGAAAAATTTAGAGACATTTTGATGTTCAAAAATTGTTAAGAAGAAATGGCTGCTTTTTGAGCCGTTCGCTAATTTTAAGCGAAAATTGGGAAGATATCCCTGATGCGGAGGAGAATGGCTGTCGCTAAGTGCCAGGCAGCAGATTTTGGGCGCTAGGTCCCAAGGTTAGAATAGCTAACCTCTGTGTAGCTGAGGTGAGTAATGATCGGCCTTGCGTATTTGGGCGATGCACCATAAATGTGGTGGTTGGTAGGCTTTATTGTAGCCTTAGGCGGATGAGTAGTGCCTGTAGTGGAGTATGGTGGCTCCTGATGTGTTATTAGAAAACGTAAGCTATTAGAGCTTTATTGAACAGACGACATGCACCCATTCGTGTAGTGGTAGAATGCTGAGGATTGAAGGCGTGGTAAGATAGTATCACAAACATCTGGGCAATAATACACTCACATCACAGCAGGTCATGCTTATGGCATGACCTTTACGGTGCTTAGCAAAAGTAATGATAAGAAGGAAGGTGCCGACAAAGTCGGCACACTTGGAGTGTCGGGAATTTTCCATATTTCTGATACACTTGTCCATGCGTCTCTTGATGCGTTCTCCAGAACTTCACTTCGTTTTGTGGGTCTTGTTTCCGATGACGCTTTAGGTTGTTCTGCTCATTACTCTGAGCCGATTTCTCTGCACAATGGTTGCAAAACCACCTTAAAGTTAAGAAGAAAACGCGCCCTTTACACCTTTTCACCAATATTTTCCACCAGGGCTCGGCATGAGGCTTAGACTTGCCATAATAGATCAACAGCAGCAACAGCTTTGTGAAGTTTTCATCGAGTTTTTGCAAAGAATAAATGAGTGAATAAGCCGTGATCCCCTGAAGATCCCTTTTGGGATCCTATGAAATAAAGAGAATTTCAGCTTGTACAGCAAAGTGCAGCTATTCATTATGCTGCAATATTAGGTTAGTAAGGCCTCAAAAGATGGACAAGCAAGGAAGAACACAGATACCCACAGCACCGAGCTATGAAGCGGATACTACCTGAATGGGAATCCTTACCCGGACGGGCGATTGATACATACCGCCTCAGGTGGCTGTCCAGGGGCGCAATCTCACACGCTTCGGGTCATTGTTAACGAGAGCCGGGACAGGCGAGAGCGCCAACCCGTGATTTATCAAATGGTCCGAACTGGCAAGTTTGGCCATGTCGGTCACGGCAGTCGGGCAGCAGAGCCCGATCTCGACGGGTCGGGCTCCGCTGCCCGACTGCCGTGCACATGGCCAAACTTGCCAGATCGGACCTTATTTTTCAACAAACAGGAGCCCGATCACCAGCTTGGCTTTATATATCGCAGGCGCCAATGCCGCGCCTGTACGGGCTGCTGTACAGGAACCCTCTTCTATATAGGAGGGCTGGAAAGCCAGCTAACTCCGAAGGAAGTTTGTCACGCTTTCATTCACATTTTTTTCATACTTTTTTTGCATAGTCCTAACTCACTATTGCCCACCTAAACACCAGTTTTGTTACCATTGTATTTTCTCTTATCTGTAAACAGTTCTTTTGTTCGTTTCGGGGCAGATTTGAATTCGCGCGCTTGAGCGGCGAACCTGCTGAAACAGAAATTTTCGATTTTTGCAGAGATGGGATTGATAGAGGGGAATGACAATTTGCGTCCTCTATAGAATCTAAAAATAACATAAAGGGAGAAGGCGATTGTATATATATGTGTGTGTGTGTGTGGGGGGGGGGGGCTGCCGTTTCCGCTGAAACGATATCTTCTTGCTTTTTATTCCAAAACGATATCCAGCTTGTCCCGTAAACCACCTTTGCCGAGCCCTGTTTTCCGCAAACAAAAAAGTCCGTCATTGTTTATATACTCTCTGTATCACTGGGAGTGAGAGGTGCTGGGAGGGGCTCGGGTTCCGCGCGACTGTCTCGCTCGGGCTCTGCACCGCTTTTGAAAGAGTGCTCTCCGGTCATTTAACAACACCTGAAAGGCAATGGAAAGACACAGCTTCAGCGCTGAAGCTTGGGAAAACGATCAGAGAGCACGGTCTCTAGAAAGGTGCAGAGTCCAAGCCGCGGATGAGCGGGACCCTTCCCACCCAGCATCCGACACTCTCAATGATGGAGAGGGTATATTACGTACGAAAAAAAACCGCTCCAGAAAACCAGAACCTGGGCATGCGCTCTCGTTCGAATCAAAAGATGAGCTTAGCGGAAATGTCACAAAAGACAATTTGAGCACTAGCGATCCGTAAGTATAAACGTGTAGCCTCGCGCAGTTGCTCCACACTATGGCCAATGCGGTGAGTTAGTCAACGGTATATTGATGTAAACCAATTGCTCAGGATACCCTTGAGGTAGAATACACCTTCAGATAAGTTCACTCAGGTTTGAAGGATGAGTGATGCCGCAATTGTTCCACATCATAAGACTAAAACCTGTGTTGTTCTCTAACGAAGTTGCACAAATCTGTTTCTTATGTTCTTAAATATACATGAAACTCAAGAATTCAGCTTTTTGTTGGTGCACAAGCAAAAATGATGCGACCTACAGCCATTCATATCTGCAACGGATCGTTTGGGGAAGCGGAGTATCTTTTTAGTGACCTACAAGAAAAAGGCGGGTTTTTTTTTGAAATGTAGATACGACTGCCAGAAATTCATGAAACTGCAGGTGTATTCGAAAAACTAACAAGTTATGATGAAGTGTTACTCGCCCGTACGCATCCATCTGATGCAGTAGAAGGATCGACATATATTTGCACAAAAGATAAGGAAGAGGTTGAAAAGAGGTAACGTGCTTTACTCTTCATCTCCACGCACCCAAATGTTCGAATTTTGAACTTCCGTGCTTGATTTCGTAAGTCTTGCACGTACCTAGTGATGGAAGGATCTGACTTCAGAGAGCAGCCAAAAACTTCGTGGGCATTTCCTCGTTGGATTTCACCTGCAGATTTCAAAACTCAAGTAGAATCACGCTTTCCAGGATGTATGCAAGGACGAGTTATGTAAGGAATAGATTACTTTGTTTGGATAGTGAAAGGCAAAAAGTACTTTGAGCATGATTTCCCAGCTGCAGTGAACATAAAGAGAGGAAAATTAATTAAAGATTGTTTTTTCTGCTTTTTAGCACCACTGAAGAGATAAAAAATGTTTTGGAGGCTTTACAAACATTTTCGGAGTGACTTCCAGAAATCTGCGGCAAAGCTACTCCTTTTATTGTCGACTCTTTTCAAAAGGAAATCTTAGTGGAAAAATAATCCAAAAGCATGTGGTGATAGAACTCTTCAAAAGTTAAAATTTCTGCAAGCTGCGAGGACATGGATTCCAGAAAAGAAAATCTTTTCAAAAAAATCTAGAATGGCGCTGTCCTAATGCCGCGGCAACTTTTATACTTGCGGCATTGGTTCCAAATCTTTTCTTGGGGGGGGGGGGGGAAGGCAACACAGCTACACCCTACGGAAGAATGGGATTCCGGAGTGACTTCCAGAAATGCGATTTTAACCAGCGTCAAGCCTGAAGAAAATTTTCTACAAAGCTAATAACTTCATTTTGATATTATTGTGACTACTCCAATCCAAAAAGAATTCAAATCAGGTAGACCCTCCTTTCGGCCCTAGCTGCGGTAGTATTCTGTGTCTCCAGAGTTTTACCGAAGGAGCCATATTGTTTGCTTTAGGTATGTGATACCATTTTCGTTGGGTCCAATTGGAGGTCAATATTCCATAAATGCTGTTCAAATAACTGATAGCGCCTACGTTGTTCTTAATATGAGAATAATTGCTAGGTAAGAACATGTCGTTTTCATAATGAAAAAAAATGGATTTGAAGACGCTCCAGTCCTTTAAAGTACCAACAATTTGGAAGCGGAGCATTTCTAACAGTTTTGAGTTTTTTGGATTAAAGAGGCTTGGCGTGAACCTCGTCCCAATGATTACTCGGGTCCCCAACCTTTGAGTGGACCTGTAGCCCAGATTTTCTCTAAGAAAGAAGGGTGGCTGCCGTTAAGCACCGAATTTTTTACCGAATTCTGGTTCAAAATTTAGAAATTATTGGAATTATTTACAAGCAAAAACAAGTCAGTTTCAAGCATGTAGGTATTTTTCAAAAAAAAATGTGTGCCATTTCTGATACTCACATCTTACAAGGGAAGGACGCTCAGTCGAAGTGGGATTTCCACACGTGGTGCATAACATTTTGCTGGTCTTAGTTAGGTACCAGAGTGTTCCTTAGCTGCTAAATGATTTTCTGGGAAAAGTTATGAGCGACGGTTCCTCACGATGACCACTGTACATTATAAGTATGAGGCGCCAAGGAATGAACAGGTGTGGACGGATAGGCGGGTGGATAACTGCGGAGATTATGCGCAGGTGGTGATGAGTTCGCGTCCCTATGGAGCCAAAGTTTGCATTTTTGCAAATTGTTTTTTTATGAATTCGCAGGCGATTTCCGACGAGGGTCTCCTTGCTTAAAAATCGCCTGCGAGTTCAGTGAAAACAATTTGCAAAAATACAAAGTTTCCATAGTGACGCGAACCCTTCACCACCTGCGCCATAGTTTCCGCAGCTATCCACCCGCCCATCCGTCCACACCTGTTCATTCATTGGAGCTCCAGACTTATAATGTGCAGTGGTTATCGTGGAGAACTCGCTCATAACTTTTTTCAAAAGACCATTGAGCAGCTAAAGAACACGAATCTGGTATAAGTGCTCCAAGATCAGCAGAATAATATGCATTACGTGCGGAAACCCCACTTCGACTGAGGGTCCTTTCCTTGTTAGAACAATTAATTGCGTCAGGTTTGCGGCAGCTTGCACTATAGGAAATTCCGGCTCTACAAAGCACGAATCTCATCTCAGCTTGTTGATCTGCAACCTATTTGTAAACCACTCAATCAAATTTGATGCTGTTGGGAAGAAATAACATGAAGCAAATCTTCAACCGTTGTCAAAAAAACAGCAGATGTGACCACGAAACTATCAAGATATTCAGGGTGTCTTCATCTATATGGGACGCGATTGGACAGTCGGATTTCGTTCGCTGCGTGCATTCCATTGGACGTCCGCGTCCAGTTATGGCCAGCGCCAAAGAGATTGTAAGTCCCTGTTTGCACACTGTTCGGGAAATTTTGCTGTCTACAGTGGCTGTGCAACCGGGATCACTTCTTCTTAGCCCATCAACTTGATAAAAATGAAGTAAGTTGTTTGCTTGTTCAAAAATCAAAGGATTCGCGAGAAACATAAAGTAAAAAAATTATTTACAGGTATGGGCGTATGGCTCAGCATTTGGCGAAAACTCATTTTTGAGCAAGAAATGTGTTGCCTTACGATTGGCAATGTATCGTGGTTATAAGGAAGGATGGTTAGCGCTGCCAGCAGCTCTCATTGCAGTGAAAGGTGAGGAAAGCGAATGACATTGCTGCCGAATCGGGAAAGAAATGGGAGGAATTGAAGAATTTGTGGAGAACGGCTTTTTTCATTGAATTTCCACTGGATTTGTGTGCAACTTGTGGTGGTTTTTTGCCACTAATTTCCCACTTTTCATAAGGTCTTCGAAATCTGTGGCGCCTTTTTGCTATCCCTTCGCTTAGCTCATTTTCCTGCCCAGTATATCCAACTGATTTGGATATAACTCGTAATGTCTATTGTGAATCATTGGTGGAATGCTGCAAGGAGTATCCTTTGCTTCAACCAGATCGGCGGCTGGAAGGCGGGGCTCCGTAACCTAATTGGGGCTAGAAAATGGTCAGAGAGCATGTTGGGGAGGTAAACGAAGACTGCGTCGCGGAACGAAAGTCGCCTCCTAGGTCACGGAGCCCCTTCTTCCAGCCGCCGACCTGGTTGAAGCAAAGGGTAGCTCTGCTGGATTCAGGTCAATTAGCTCAACGAGAGCCGTTGTTTAGTACATATTTCTCACAATATTGAAAGGAGCTGCGATGAGTGATACTTCAGTGTTAAAAATTTCTTTTTATCTAACTTCTTTCTTAGAACTTTTCTTTTAACTTCTTTCCTCAATTTGACAATACAAGCAAATTCCTAATATATGTTCGATTGAACGATGGATGTGGCATAACGCTAATTACTAATCTGCTCTTCATGGCTACGACTGTCTAAAGAGTGCGTTTTTGAGGCAGAGCGGAAGCGCCTGAATCTCAAAACAATATGAGTATTTCTGTATCTCGCACTCATTACCGCTTCAGTGAAGCACCTGGCGAATTATCCAAGATAGATCTCATCGTAGCCAAAATTTTTCTAAATAGAAACAGCGCTCCCTCACAGATTCAAAACGAATTCACTCAGCTACTTATGCCACATCTTTCCTTGTTGATCATCTGTTGACTTGCACTTCGAATAAAAAGTGCGGAAAATGTGTCCCTTGATCGAGAGACATAAGCATTGTCCTCTCTTTAAATCAATCATTTTAGATCCTTCTGGCAAGGAATTGTTTGGCTGTGTCTCTTTTCCCATTGGTGGTGGAAAAACTGAGTTTGCCACTATGACCCCTACCCTCAAAGACTGGCAGGTAAGCTCCATTTAGACGAAATTTGGAGGTAACAGCAAATTCGAGCTCATTCAAGGTTCGCATGCTTGGCGATGATGTCGTATGGATCAGATGTGCTCGTAGTGGGAAGCTTCATGCTTTAGCACCCGAAAATGGGCTGTTCGGTTGTGCGTTTAACCTAACTTCCCAACATCATGCGTACTTACTCAAGGTGAACTGCTAAGCTGTCGAACACCCTCTTCCAGTGGCAATGACGCAAATTCAGATGATTTCGAAGAATGCAATTCTAACAAACTGTGCTTCAACTAGTAAAGGAAAGTACTTCTGGGAGACATTGCATTCTGCGCTGGAAAAACATGAAAGGGTTAGGGACTGGAGAGGGGAGGACTGGACCTTTAAACAAAATAGGTATGTTGAATGCTCTTTTATCTTTGAATGTGAGCATAATAGTTTATGTCAGTAAGTAATGTGTTTGCCAACCAAATTCTGCAGTGAAGACTTTATTGACCTAACGTTTCGACATCGGCGTCATCGTCAGAGGTCTGAAAACGGATTGTAGGCTATTTGACCTGCTCACCATACCTTCAAACGCCTCTTCCCACTGTGTCAGTCTAGACCTAATCTGAGACTCACAGCATGAGACCCTCAAAGCCAGGAAACGAACAAATCTTGACTACACCAGCTAGCGACAAGCCCGCACATTTGATGGTAAGGACGTCACTGAGTGTCACTCAGTGAGTCAAGGCCTTTTATGTGCGTCACTAAGCTCACATAATGATATGAATGGAGCTAAGTCACTACTGGTAGACAAACACTCATTCTTGACATTCAGCTCTGGATTTTTGATACTGATCCATGCGGCTTCGAAGATTTTCCTGGCACATATCTCGGTTTCATAGGTCAGAATCGTACATTTAATTTTATAATCATTTCCGCCATGTACCTCAATCTTATGCCGTCCCAACGGTGCTGTTTGAGTCCCTCGTCTTTTGCTGGTTAAGTGTTCCTTTAACCTTACACCTAGATTTCTACCCGTCTCTCCGATATAATAGTTATGGCAAGTCAGACATTCTAGCTGGTACACCACACCCGCCTTTGCACAATCTCCTACTCTGCCATAAGGGCAAACAATACAATGCTCCATCATGCAATAGCTATCATAAAGCCTGTTTCGCACCTACTGCTTCTTTATATTACTATTCGGGATATTAACAAGCATCACATCATCCTGCAGTTGGGCTCTATGAATGCAGTTTGATTGCCTTACTAACTTCGTCTGAAATAAACGGCATGCAAAGAGGGATCTTATCGCATTGAGTTGGATATGATTTTCGGGATGTTGTTTAACACGCCGATGTTCTTGCAAAACATATCCGTTGCTGCGCGCGATTTGCGATGCAAGCTTTCGTGACTCAAACCGTTCTTCGTGACTCGTACACACCATCGAAGCAGTCTTCATCATACTATGAATAACCGCTTTTTTCATCTCTATGGGGTGAGCCGATTTGGCATGGACCAAGATGTTCTTAGAGCTTCTTTTACGATACCATTTAACATGGAGAACACCACCGAAAAAGCTGATCTGAGTGTTAAGGTAAGGAAGCCACCCGTTTCGTGGGGTTTCTCGAGTGAGCTTGATGTACTCGGACTGCTGGTTTAGCAACTTGAAACACTCATCCATTTCGGATTGAGTAGATGTTGCAGTCGTCGATGTAACGACAGTATCAGTGGCATACGCGCAAGCACTGGCTCCTCAATTCTACTCATAAAGCACACAGTAAGGACTGGCGCTAAACGCTGGCCCATTGCGAGTCCTCGGATCTGGGAGAAGTATCCAGACCATTTAAAGATGTTACAACTCAAGCATGCTTGTGTGAGGGTCAGTACTTGCGTTTTACTCAGTTCCAAGGTACTTATGGTCGTTATATGCTTATCTAACTTTTCCGAGAGAGCCTGTAATGCATCATCGTTGTGAACGTTAGTGTACAAGGAAGTCACATCGAAGGACTCTATTAAAACACTAGGTTCAAACTTCGTGTTGTGCAATAGCTCTAGGAATTGCTGAGTGTTAGATAGGTGTGCCGGTACCTTTGCCAAGAGCTGGCTCACGATTTTATTTAGAAACCACGAAATACGATCTGTCGGTCCTCCAATACAGCTAATTATGGGTCGGATGTTAAAGACTTCGGGCGACATAGAGTGTAAATCTTGCGACGCGATTTTGTGCGTTTTTATCAGATGATGGAAAACTGGACAATTTGGAGTGTCTAACTTTAACCTACTTACAAATCGTTCATCTAGACCAGCGCATCTAGCCACATTCGTCCAAATGTCGTTTAATTTTCTATATTGATTCTGATAATCCTTCTTAGACGCAGGCCTATAGACTGTCGTGTCTGCTAGATGTAGCTCAGCGATTTCTTTGACTAAGGACTGTGGCATCACAACAAATTCGCCCCCTTTGTCGCTTACAGATATTCGGATTGAGTGTTTTTCGACAGATTCACGTAATATCTGCTGCATGACGAAGGCGGTTGCCCAAATAGGTTGAAGGTTGTTGCGCAAGCGGCGCGCGGAAAATTGTCAGCCATGGGGCGTGCGCACGCTCCAGTGGGTGACCGCTGACCGAGCGTGCGCGCGCCCGGTGGTTGACAATTGCCCGCGCGGCGCGCGCAACAGCCTTCAACCTATTTGGGCAACCGCCTTCGTCATGCAGCAGATATTAACTCTTTAAACCCTTCTCATTCGCATTGTGTCAAATTAGTCTTGCGGTCGCGTGCGAACCTCTTCAAGACATGGATTTCCAGCGAAAGAACACGGAATCTGCTATCAGCATATAGGGTAGGTTCGGCTTCTCTATAGAAAGATCGAGGGAACGGCACCGTTGGTAAGGAATTACTAGTAACTTGCATGGTCATGTGAGAGTCGCTTTTGCGTCTAACTCGACGTCGTAATGAATCACGTTAGCGGAAACTTCCCACTACCTTGCGATAAACTGAGGGACCGATGTTTTGTACTGCAGAAAATGAGGGACCGAGACTGAAAAATTTCAGTGTGCACGAGGATAATTGAGTGTTGCCTACCGCAGTGACTTTGTTGGCTTCCACTATATCCTGAGCTGAATTTTCAGGCTTGGGAGGCGTAGGTCTGCTGTTCAAGGTGTTGATGGTTCTCAGACTGCGCGCCCGTGGTTGGCAAACACATTACTTACTGACAAAATAGGTATCTTCTAACTTACGCGAAATACTGTCAAGATGGTTCAGGCTGGCTGCACATATGAATTGTCGTTTTACTGCATTCACCAGCTCATCTCCTAATGTCCATCCCGACTGGGAGGTGGGCGCAGGTGTCCCTATCAGTTTGTGAGTATTCAAACATTGACAACGGTTTTGTGCTAAGCATTTAAATTGTCATTGCAGTATAATTTTTGGATGCAGACGTAGCGATCAAATGCCTCTGATCTACGAAACGGAATCTTGGGAGCACGGGATTGTAATGGCAGCTGGTATTCGGACACTTTCCTACAGTGCTCTTGATCCTCCAAGTTGGTCCTGGTGTTTTCGTTTATTAAGAAGAATATCTAAATAAGCTATTTAGTTTTTGTTTTTCTTTTTAGAAAAAGCGTAGATGTTTTTTGAGTCTTTGAGAGTTGTGAATTATGGTGGTGCTTGAACATTCTTTTTATATTGCGGAGTAGAACATATGTATAGTCTGTTTCAACTTGAAGGCCGAAGCATTTTGATTGGAACAGCGCGTCCGCTCCAGTAGCGGCTTCGCGAGCGCACAGAGCTGGCATTTTGCTAGTTAGAGACCGAGGAGAAAGAGACGCAGAAATGGGTTTGTGCCACGAGATGATATGCTGTAGTTGCGAAACGGAACCGTTACTTCTTGGAAGATGGTCGTCATTCAATTTGGCCAGATGCTTGAAACAGACTGTAAAGGTTACTGCAGGATGAAGGCGCAGAAACAATATTAGTCATGCGGGCGCGGATGCGGCGCGCCCGTATCTTCACCGTTGTAAACCCTCACAAAGATAATGATGTTTTTAGAACATTCCAAAAATTAATCAAGGTTTCGACGAGGGAAAACAAGTCTGCATAATCTTATAACTTTAGGTATTTTGAAATAAATTGTATTGAATTCGAAACAGGACTTGATCCTCGGGACCTATAATTTACGATGTTTTTTCGTGGCTGAAAACGTACCACTCCAGAAAACTGCGCCGATTTATGTACTTTAATTATCGAGAACTAACATTTGTTAGAATTCCGAAGCTTTCCGAACACTACATATTTCCGAAGTGTCTCAAGCTTAACGGCAGTTACCACCCTCGCAGCGCAACCACGACCGATTAGCTAAATTCAGGCAATACACTTGTACCTGATCCGCTATGTATGAGGACGTCAATGTCTTTTTCTTTTCCAAAACTCTTGAATCACTGGATAAGTTTCAAAGAAAAAACTCGTGAGGTATGATGATATTTGCTTGCGACTATGCTGTGTTATTACTGTATCATTAGACACCAAAAATCTTTATGGTAAATTTATACCAAGAAGACGCTAATGGAAAAATCATGTGGCCCGGATACGGAGACAATATTCGAGTGCTGGAATGGATATTCAATAGGTAGAAAACGATTCTCACATTCTAAGTGTTAACAAAATCACCGAAATTGTTTAGATGTGCTTTCCCTGAGAAAGCGTCTACATTATCAACGGCCATAGGACTTCTCCCACAAAAATTGAATACTGAGGTACTGTAGATGTTTGCGCATACAATTTAGCCTAAAGTGAGATTTTTGCAGGGGCTCAAAGGCGAATTTTCATCCTTGTTTACCATAGAAAAACATTTTTGGACGAAAGAAATCACACAAATTTATTCGTTCCTTTCTGCAGAAATGGGAAGCAAAATGCTACCCGTCGTTAAAACTGTACTTGAAAATCTTATCAAGCGCATTTCCACTATGACTTGAACTACTGAAGGCGAAACACAATAAATTTGTTTAATTCTACAGTATCTGCTTACGTCCTTGTCGCCGATTACTGTAAGCACCTCTTACACATAAAGTACCCGAAAAAGTGCCCACTAATCGATGAATGGCTCAGGCAATGATATACGGTGGGAGCACAGCAGATTTATTGTGAACAGGAGGCTCTCCGTTCCCCGTGCTAGTGTCGACATACATATTTGCCTAGAATGTTGTTTCAGATGTTGCGAAAAAAGCTTCAAGGATTTTTTATATCCTCTACAATAAAGAGGAAGTTTCTCTGGCGGAATGTCTCAAACCCATTTCATTCTATTTGGTAGATGCTTAGTGAATGGAGTTTGCGGTAGAACTTCTACGATGAAATGGCTAGAAACAAAGGATCGAGTTCAATTTACTTATACTACAACTACCACTTACTCGACACTGAATGGTCCTCTCAAGGGTATATTCATTGGCATCACCTTCAGTTTCGGGCACTTAGTTGAAAATAAGGATTCCAAGATGTGGCGAATGTTTTGGTAGCCTAGTCTGAAAACCTTTTGCTATGGATCAAGCAATATAGGGATGACTTCGACTCAGACAGCAGAAGTTCACCAATTTCTCTGGAATACGAAGATCGGGAACTTCCAGCATCCCTGCAAGTCTCTGCCATACCTAAACAACACGCAACCGATTCTTTTGTTGTGAACATGACTTGATCACTGATGAACTTTTTGCAGATCATAGTGTGTGTAGCCGTTGCTGCGCAGCAGGTGGTGCAGCAGGCGGCTTTATGGGGTCTTATTGCATTCCACGGTGAGTTTCGTCACACTCCGAAGATGCCTAGAGGGCACGTACTTTGAGATAATTTTATGGGGTATGGCTCCGCTATTCGTTTAGGAAGATACAGCGACAGATGCAACACTGTCAACATAGTACGGCAACGCTAACGACGCGTGCGACGTCGCGACTTTTATTTGCTTTACTTCCCAAAAGAAGGTGTTTACAGTACCGATCCGTATGCGACATAAGTGATTCAGTTGTCATTCGATACCGAAATGGTATCTTTTAGAAAACACAGCACTCCTTCTCAAGTGACAAAATTCAGGACTTCAAACTCATTCGAAACTTTGGTGTGAGCTTATTTGACATGCTGATCACAAATATTATACAGTGCATGTTAATGAGGAGCTCACAAGTCCGTAGCTCTTACGTGTACGCATCGCAAGGCTGATGCGCTCCGTTCGCGTGCGTACGGCTTGGACCCTTGCCAACCCTCGATCGATGACGTCTGTGGGACCCGCGAACGTGGCGCACGGGATTTGCGGCGCGTGCATGCAAATCGAGAACTGCACAAAAGGGAATAGGTTTTTGACATCGCCTGTACTCATTCCGCGGAATAAGGTCACTCGTTGACCTACGAGCAGAATTGCATGCATTTTGCAGCATAGTTGCGATAGGGGGAGTGATGGATCTTACCCCCTTCACTTTGAGGCCAAACTCCCGATGACCCCCTTCACCTGGGCTGAGATTGGTATTGTACTCTGAGAATATGATAAAAATCGTTATTAAAAGGTTTTGCAGGCTAAGTACCTCAAACAACAAGTACACTCATAAATTTACAAAAGAAACGGTACTTATCTTTATTTATGTTATTTATTTATCTCCGTAGCATTCACTTGGAGTGCAGAAAGTGAGGACAAAAAAGCAGTTGGTTTTTGGAGTACATAAAATCCCTCATATCTCGCGGCACAGAAGACCTAGAAAAAAGTCGACGGTCTATGTCGATTCTCCATGATCTCAGCTTTCGAATGGTATACAGCATGTTAGGGCTTCTTTGCTTCCCGGCTCTAAAAATCATTTTCTCCGGTAACCGATAAAAGCCAATACATTGGTGGAGCCGGAATGGAGCAAGCTAATAGTAAATATCTCCACCCCATTTTTGAAAACTGGTCCGTTTTTTCGCCCAGCAACCTATATACCATTCGAAAGCTCAGGAAAAGGGGATTCGACCTAGACCGTCGACTTCTTTCTAGCCTCCCTCTACCGAGAGATACACCGCATTTTATCTGAAAACATGGTCATTTTCAACAGCAGATTTCTGCCAAATGAAGACCTAATCACTGCTGCTTATCTATCTGTGTTAAAGAGCAAGTCTTCATTAACAAACGTAGACCGTCGACTTTCTCGTAGCATTCATTTGGAGAGCAGAAAGTGAGGACACAAAATCAGTTAATTTTTGAAGCACATAAAATCCCTCATATCTCGCGGCACAGAAGACCTAGAAAAAAGTCGACAGTCTATGTCGATTCTCCATGATCTCAGCTTTCGAATGGTATACAGCATGTTAGGGCTTCTTTGCTTCCCGGCTCTAAAAATCATTTTCTCCGGTAACCCATAAAAGCCAACACATTGTATAGATCGTCCATATAGTTTTTGCGCACAATTTTCAAAAATTCATAACTTTTGATTTTTTCGACCGATTTGACTGCTTTCATATTTATTTGAAAGGGTAAGTCATGCTCTTTATAATGACATCTCAGCTGCTTAGTAATGGTCATCTGTTACATAGATAGAAGCTCAAAACCAAAATCACTCAAATTTTGAATTTTTGTGTAGGGTCATGAAAAATCAGAAACATGCTACAAAAATCGGAGCAATCGGTATTGTAGGTTCTTTCACCAGCTCTTTCTAACAGTGCAAAGTTTGCTCCGATTGAGCGTCTCAATGAAAAGTTATGATTTCCGAGCAAGCAATACAAAAAGGCGAATTTGATTTATTTTGGCATTTTTCAGGGAAACAATAACTTTTCATGGTCGGCGCAAACTTTGCACTGTTAGAAAGAGCTGGTGAAAGATCCTACAGTACTGACTGCTCCGATTTTTTTTTGCAAGTCTCCGATTTTTTATGACACACAGAAAAATAAAATTTTTACCATTTTTCTTCTATCGCTCCTATCTATGCAACAGATGACCATTACTAAGCGGCTGAGAAGTCATTATAAAGAGCATGACTTACCGTTTCACAAAAAATTGAAAGCAGTCAAATCGGTTGGAAAAATCAGAAGTTATGATTTTTTGAAAATCGTGCGCAAAAACTTTCGGGACGACCTAATAAGAGCGAAGTGGAGCAAGTTGATAGTAAAAAATGTGCTGCGGATTGACATCGTTATCAGCACTAACGGGAACGTGAGCGAACGCGTCTATTTCAGCGCCCTTATCGTTGTTATATGTTTATGTTTTTTTGGTATAAAATGCGCTTTTGATTGACAGTTATGCCATCATTATTAGCGCACACTCAAAAACTATGGGAGATTGGTAAATTTTCACACCTTCACACAAAAACCTGCCCATTTCTGGAATCTATACTCTGTAAACCTAGTGCTGAAGAAGGTCACTTTCATGAAAACGCGCTAGACTCACCTTACCTAATTTGTAGAGAAGGTGGTTGGGTTCAATGAATTAAAAACTTTAAGACATTCAGAAAAATAACATGTTATTAAATTATCCCTCAATGTTTTGGAAAGGTTGGCAGTTTGAAGAGGAAACGGCAGACAGAATACTTTACAAAATCGCAGATGACTCGCATGTGTTCCAGTTCAATAGCGAGGCAGAAGGAGAATCTTACGCCGACGAAAATGTTGTCGACATTGACACAGAGTTGACATGAGCGAAACTCTCTGATTTCGTGCATAAGGAATCCAAGCAGATTGTCTAGTTTCAATGAGGAAATGTCCAGGAAGTCCATTGCTGATCTTCAGGTTGCTGAAAAATTCAACTGCTAAATTCACAAACATGGATATGAACAAAAGGAAGGTGTTGGTACAAAGCATAGTTACTGCACTTAGATCCCGGCTAGAGTGCGAACCCAACTCTGTGCTTTATGCTTTTGGAAGTTATTCGCCTTGTGACATTATGACCTATGATATTGATAAAAAAACTAACGCGCAGCATAGTATCTACTTTTTTTCGGCTATTCCGCAGATGCTGTTGAAGAAGAGTTGAGCAGCTTTCTCGTCAGTTAACAGGAAGTATGCCAGAGGAGGTGAAGTCAGAGTTCGAAAAGGCCCAAAAAAGTATGCACTATTTCCTTCTCGTGTTGCGAAAGCATATGCAATCTGGCTCTTTTCCCATTACTTACCGCAAAAATCTGATGGACTTACTAGCAAAGCTAGTTTCCATTCCGACTAGCACGGCAGAAGTGAAGAAAGAAATTTTCTATCTACTCTGTTATCAGAACACAACGCAGAAGTCGTACAACGATAGAGCATCTAAGCAAATACTTAAGATTTGACAACCTTCTACTAAACACATTGTTATCTAAAAACTTCATTTAAAGGATTGGTATAAGTGGTCCAGACAGGCTGTTACCGTATGACTTTTTGAATTATCCTAAAAGATGGTATGAAGAAGCTGGTCACCTACCTGCTGACTTCCTGATGCTACCAGAGGGTCGGGAAAAAAATCACAAATGTGCTTAGAAAAAGAAGAAAGTTTCAAATCCATTTTTGACTTAGAACGCTTTGCACGCAATTCTACTTCCACTCCGATGACCTTTTGGAGGAAGAAGAAGATTTTTCAGGCACCGAATTTGTTGTCTCTGACGTTAGCGATAGTGATATTGTTGATGATGATGCGCAGGAAATGAAGCTGTTCCTAACTTGTACATTTTTTGGGATAAACCTTATTGCTTTTTTTGTTGATGCAGTGAAACAGGAGCACAGATCTTCATAATAAATTTTTTTAAATTTTTTAATTTCTTTTGAAAATTTTTAAATTTTTTTTAATTTGTGCCTAAATAAGGTACAAATTAGAGCTTTTCATACCACGCTTTCTTACCTTTTCTCTCTTCCTCCCCCCCCTAGACTCGCATACCCCCTTCACCCTGGAAGGTCGGGAACAGCCAAGACCCCCTTCACCTGGGGAGATCTCGGCTCCCCCTATCGCACCTATGTTTTGCAGTCCGAAACATGTGACTCGAAGACTCAAATTTTTGTTGATTAAGTGCCGTCCCCTAAAAATGAAAGCAAAATTATGAAGGATCTCATAATTTTGTGCGAAGTACATGGAACAATTGCGCACATTCCAGGGAAGTGCAACTAATTTATTGCAAACACATTGCGAACACAGATCGTTATCGCTCATTCAGAGGAGATTCACTTTCAACATCCGACTGATAAATAAATATGGGCAAGAGCAATCAGTTTGGGGAACCCGTGCATGGGGTGATATGTACAAGAAGGGACAAACAATATGTTTGGAGAAAGCGGCCTAATCGCTGATAATCGCAGCTGAAGATTTCAGTATTTTTGCTAATTAATTAGAGGATCTACAGGCATAATTGTAATTATATAGCCTCATAATATAACTCTAGTATTCATGAAGATAGAAAGGACCTTGAGACGAAGAGAGATCTGCATCAAAAAAAAAATCAAAAAAGAATTGAAACAAAACTATTAGATGTCGAGAGACGACGCATTGTTTGTCTTTTGTCGAACGATGCTCGGACTGTTGTTCTGAAAATGAATTAGCTGAAATGGGGAGGAACAACATTTATAAGCGGCTTCAAAATTGTCCTAAGTGAAAGATTATTTATGTTCTCGAACTCAACGCTCATCGCAACAACATAATGGAAAGAAAAGAATGTTGTTCTTTTATGATAGAGCAACACAACACGGAAACACGAAAAAGAGTTTAAGCGATATAGCATGACCTTGAAACAGTCATAAGTCGTCTTTTCAGCAAAATTTGAAGCCAAAGTCTATAAGCAATCCATGGCACCAAAAGCTGGATCTGTGCAATAAAGGATTCCACGAAATCCGCGCCTGCTCCCACATGTAGGACTCATATTGGCACTTCCTGTATTTTTTATGTTCAAAAATCAAGAAAAAACGGAAGATGGCAAACTTCGTCCTTTGGAGCTCTATAATCGTTCCATATATGCAACTTTTTTACAATAAACGTACGAAATTTCAATTACGAAAATTAGTTCGAGAGAAACATATATTAACCAAAAAACCCTTTTCTTTCCAACCTAATGTGCAGGATGAGTTCAACGCCCCAACAACAAAATGTTCCGTGTTCCAATCCATGTGTCATTAGAATTTCCAGAACACTTTCTTACATATTACTCTGTTCGTAACATTTGCACCACAAAAAACTTGCAGGTATTCTAGTTTGAAAAATCAATTTTTTGCTTTTTGCTAAATTGTCTTTTTAGACCATAACAAAGCAAAACTTATTCTTTTCCATGTCTTCTGAGAATCACAAATAGAGCGCTTCATATTAGCTACGGTTCAATAAGATCACATTAGACTCACCTGCTCTTGACTAAATGTAGATGATTTGGGCGATTGCTGCAATATGGAAGGGGGAACGACCTCGTCCAGGGAGCCTCCTATACTGCTACGATATGACAGTGATTGCAAAACCCGCATCGAAGCGGACACCTAAAAGCACTGGTTGATTACCTTGTAAGGCTAATCAGTTTTCAAAGGTGCTGCGGGGCTGCATTCAGCTATAAAAGTCTGATTTTTAGCATGAAATGCTGCGCTAGAGTTGCCCGTGCTAGCGATGTGCCATCGCCATTCCTATGCCAGAAAGTTTGAGCAATACAAGGTGGGCGCAGTAATGATTGCCCAGTGCTAATATCACCCTGGCACGTCGCTAGAACGGCGCTGGCATAGCGCGGGCAAAATGTCAACTCCTGAGTTCATGCTTCATCTGACTGTCAATGTCGTTATTGCTTACTTTCAAGTATATTTTCGCTACGGTTGCAATTTTAGTGCGATTCCGATTCTTAAGATTACCTACTCATATCTCTACTTACGTTGTGCTCATTTTTACTCAAGAAAAAACTTGGGTAGCTAGTTTCACACTTCGTTTGGCCTCACATCTTCCGTGTAACCCTCGGATTTGTTTGTGTTATTTTGCACAATACAAATTAACCTGATTGGAGGACTTGTCTAATAGCATCCGTATTCGTCGATCAAAAATTGCGTGTTATCATAATTTTTGGCAGAGCTGGGGGGAGATTACTAGTCATCCTAGTGATACGCATTTACAATGCATCAGCGAACCCCTCATCCACATAGTTTTATAGCTTTAAACGATGGATGTTTCCTACGGAATAGTAACGCTGAGAATATGAGTAGCAAACAGTCCACGTCTTTTTCAAGTGATAACTTTTTTCTTGTTTACTACCCTTATTTCCAATTTTGTAATATGACCTACCTGTTGTCTTAGATTCTTGTGCATATTCGACGGTGAGGCGGTGTGTGACATTGTCGATCGTTTTCGCCTTTCTGTTGCAAATCTGAAGAATATGTTTGCCTTTTCTCATACCAAATTTGAAACTTATTTACCTTATAAGACTTCGCAGTTCCCTATTCATTGCTGCATAGAATATCCAATTTCCAGCAGCGTTTGCATATGTTAGCCAATTTGCAAAAAATATTGCCCATCGCAGGGTTCTGCAATGTCAACGGATGACAGAAGTTGAAATTGTAAGTGCAAGGAAAAAAGCTAAATATCATAAAGTGTTCACCTAAAATCTGTAAAATTCCTGAAAAATCGAACAGTGGTGAGCAATTCTGAGACAAGGCTCATATCGGGGAGAAATTGAATTAGGCAGGAGGGCAGCCAGCAGATCACATGGAAGATGAACACCCGAATGATAGCATTGGTCATCTCCTTCATATAGCGAGGCTCCGATACGATAGATTCTCTAGCGCGAGAATGAGCCACTACTGAAACAAATAAGCTAACAAGCAATCAACAACAAGTTGGCGAAAATGAGTAATAGAAAGAAATTCAGTTGAAATCTGCCATCTACCATAACAAACTTTAAATATCACAACTAAAGCAAGCTCGTCATAGTCATTGCAATATTATTATTTTACAGAAATTTCAACTCATTGGAAGAGTGTACGTAGATAATAAGCAGCATTTGATAATTTCTGTAATAGCAATCTCCAGATAACTTCAGTAGTTTTTCTTCTGCCGTGATTGTTATTGGTAACAATTCAATGTCTTACGTTTCGGCCACACAGATAATATCCACGTAATTTTTCAGTAATATCCAGATAATTTTTTCCATTGATATAACTACACAATTTAATGTCTTTCTGTTTTATGGTCTAGCAGTAAACAGCATCGCAGATGTCGCTGTTTTCGTTTGATATAATGCCACTCACGGCTATCATTATGGGATATTTGATACTTGGAAGATTATGCGTACTATGATTTTGCGCAATTTTTTAGAGAAGTCTTCAAAGAACAAGAAGTTTAAGATAGAAGCCATCTCACATCTATGCGAAAACTGCGAAAAGTCACCAGAGGAACTCAAATTCTTTTGCGGGAACTATGAATTGCCCTAATTTCACGCGTACAAGGCGCACCTTTTTCGATTTTTTAAACAAGCCGCTCAACCGCTTCAGCCTATTTCTGAAAGCAAACCTTAAACCGTTCAATTCTCTCAGGCAATACGGAGTCCGGTATAGGGTTCTTTGGTTGCGAAGTGTTGTGACGTGTTTGGGCTGGCGGATTTTAGAAAAAATCCCCGCGCCTTGCGCGCGTGAAATTAGGGTATTCATAACTAACACTTGAGGTAATCAAGAATAGCGCGATTTTGAAGAGCAGAGACAATATAATGAGAATGTGAAGGAAGATGGCACCTGGAATCCGGAAAAAGATTCTAGCAGCTCGCTTCTTCTTATTTTCTAGCATCGATCTTAAGAATTGGAAATGGAAATCTGATATGATAGGTCCTCTCCGTGTATACGTTGAATCATGTTCCGAATTCCCAGTGGATTTGTCGCAACACTTCCAAGGTTTGTTTATGCATGTCAGCATGATATCTTTCTACGATAACTATCAAAGTGCTTCCACAGTGTTTTCAAGGAATTTTCTTGAACGTAAAGTGTATATAGAACTACAATAGCGAACATAGTCGCTTTTAGAGCGCGAAATATTTCAGAAAACCCATGAACTAGATAAGGTTCAAAAAGTCACCTCTTGCTTTCCTCTTGGTGAATTTCCTTTTCACATGTCGTACAATCTGACCGTAATTGACTGAGATCGTTGTGAGATTCGATAGAAAAGCCATGGCGGTTAAGTAGGCGCCAAGTCGAGGCAATGTCCGCCCTCGGTACATACGCACGCAGTTCAGACTGTCACTCGTCGTTGCCACCGATTGCATCTGGAAAAAATTTGATATATTCTTGATTTTCAGAGTGTCTAGGAAATGCAACCTGCACAAGTATTGCCATAACGACGAGGCAAAGTAGGGCAAGTGCAGCGATCGGTGTTAGTCGCACAAAACGCTTTCTAAGCTGAAAATTTAGTTTTATTCATGACGCAAAAAATCTTGTCTTCTTTGCTTTCGCCAAAGAAATATATGTATCATTTTTGCCTTCAAAATGGCAAATAAAACTAGTTGATCAAAGTGGCCTATTTATATAAAATGTACGTTATCTCGAAGAGCATGGAAACGCTGATATCAAAAGCTTATCAGGGAAAACTCCCGAGAATTTTTGGGAGCAATTTTGAGGGCACAGTAATAAATTTATTCAGTACCCTACTTTCTGAGCCCAAATGGGGCTATAGTGACTGCCAGAAATTTTATGCAACGACAATATTCGGTTTGACGTAATATGATTGATTATCATTACTTTCTTCAACACCTGGAGACCTCAAATACAGTTTTTTACCAGAAAGCTTCAAGTTTTGGAAGAATTCTCATAATTCCTCTCAGAAGTTGGCAGATAGATCAGCGTTCCATGCTCTTAAAAATGATATACATTTCCATACAAAGGTCACTTAGACCGAGGAACCTTCTGGAGAATATTTTGGTCCAGCTGAACATGTTTGATGCTTACGCAGATCAAAAACTGCAGTGTGCTGTACATCTTTCTATACTTTACATAAGGATTTTGCAATAATTTAGTCATTAGCGAGGATTCCATCGTCACCCTATCTTGGAAAGAAGTTCAGCTGATTGCCTGCGAGTCGTTGTTTTTGACACCTTATGAGCTTTGAATCGGCCTTGGTCCCATCGTAAAAAGGTTCTGAACTACCACACCTTCAGTTTTTTTCAGGCCTATTGAATCTATAAAGGTAGAAAGTCCTATGATATGGCCCCTAATGACATCGCTGTCTCCTTTACTGCTTAGTGGAACTGGAAATGGAACTGAACGCTTTCGTTGAGCAAAGCTCACACATTTGCTTTTGCTTGGAGAGGTTTGATCATAGTTACATAGATCTCTACAGAGAGAATGTCATGTTCTGATTTAAAGCAAGAAATGTTTTGGGCCGTTTGCTGCGTCATCCGCTCTTGAATGTTAGCTATTCTTGTATCACAAAGTATTGAATCAAAAGCAAATTTCCTTTTACTTTGACTTTGCTTCAAGCGATAACACAACTGTAAGCGAACCCACCTGACTACAGAATGGCTTCCTAATAGTGATATATCGCTCTATACTGATACAGGACAATAGCGTAAGTGAAGCCAATTTCACCGTCTGCTCGATAACAAACATCGCTCGGCAACTGTTTGTGTCTGAAGATTTCAGCATAAATCTATGGCAAAAATGTCCAAAGCGCACTCACCTAGGAGGAGTTCTGGCAAGGAAAGATAGATTGTGCGAACCAAGAGAACCATTAGTACGGTGAGATCGACAATGGCTAGAACTGATATGTACGCTCGCAGACGATCTGATGGGGAACTGTTCCGTAGCAAGCCCCTAAAAAGTGTAGATTGCTTTTGAATTTTTCAATCTAAAAATACGGTGAAACCACAACAACACACAACCATTGTTAACAGATTTTTTTAGGTAAAACAACCACAATTTATCTTAGGTTTTTCTGCTGCTCAGGTTCATACAATCCGCACTTTCGCTTTTGTATTTGAAATACCAAAATTTTTCTTCAAACGTAAGTCCGAAACATAAGTCAGATCACCTACTGCAAAGTTTTTGAGCTGATGTTAGACCAATAATTGAAATTGAAAGATTACCTTTTGCATCTTACTTTCACTACTTCTTCCATGCACCCCCCCCCCCTCAATGTTTTCTGCAGCAGAAAAGTGGATCAATGCCTTGCAAATATTAGGTTGGCACATAACTTTTGCAACTTTTCCCGTGAATTTTCCTATTTTATGTAGCAATCTCATTTTGTGGTATCGTGTAGATCGTCATGTAAGCTGCAAGTCTGCGCAAACCGTTTGATTTTTGATAACGTAGTACAAAAAATCTAAGCATTTTTTGAAAACTGCTGAAAATCGAGGTTTCACGATTTTTTGGCAAACATGAAGCCCTAGGAAACCTGATTCAAACATATGAAAAAGCAATCATAGGCAGCATGTAGCTGGAAGTTGGCACATTGGAATCAGTGGAAAAGAAATGAAATTTAAAGACAAATTAAGGTGGGGCGCCTTTGAGAAGTTGAACAAGTCAAATGCGTCAAGTTTTGAAGGCAATTTGTCAATAACTAAGCTGCGAAAAGTCAGAATTCGCTATGACTTTGCACTATAGAATAATCCTATGCGGTAAACACGAATATCATATTCATTTGTCGCTAAAGTGAAATTCATTTTTTGATCTCACGAACGAGGCCTTTTCATGCTAAACGGATCTCATTTTTGTGATCAGCATGTCAAATAAGCCCTATAGGCCAAGTTTCAGCAAAATCTGATGCATTCTAAAATTTTTCCCATAGTACCGTAAACCTACGGTAAACCTCACATAAGATGGTAAAATTCGGCAAAAATGTGTGCATTAGAAGCTTACATCATATTCCTTATATTGCCAAAAAATTAATGCGCTACGTTCAAATAGACAAAAGTTATATAAAAAGTTGCATTACTTATGTGCCAACCTAATAAATTGGCCACCAAAATATATTACACCCACACAAACATTTTTGATCACTTACGTGCTCAACCCAGAATATTCTCAGATACATACGTGATGTTTATGAAGAGGATGTTCATATTTAGCCCCAAAGCCTTGTATCCGACACCTAGTGAAATCTCTCGTCATCTTACATTAGCATATCGCAAATATCAGATCTTCTTGTATCCTATCTCGTGTTGTTTACAATGCTTCTTTTTGCATCCTTATATGCGATAACGTGAAGATTCTCATGAGATTTAGTGGATAAAGGACGGTAAATGCGCAAAAAATCGACATTTTCATTGCTACTTTTATCACTACAAAGTACACCGGCTTTCTGCTCGATGAATGAGCGAAAATAAATAAAAGAGAAAAAAATGAAAGTGCCTTCTACAGAGGAATGAGAGTAAATTAATTTGGTGCAAGTTTTGCGATTTTTTTTGAACTTACCTGCAAATCGCTTACAGTGAAAATAAATAAACAATTATAGCAGTATCAGATGCAAAATTTCTTTTTCTTTCCAGCAACTATGTTCCCAATATAATTTACTACGGGTATCCAGGCAATCGCTAGGAATTAGACCAAGACTTCGATTTTTAACATGTCCAGGTCCCGCAAATTTTCAGAATTTTCATTTGAGAATTTCGAAGATGCTTTGATGGTATGGCAGACCTTTTGCCAATCTATGCGATTTTCGGTAGTTCCCTGACTTGTTTATTAAAGTTTGTGAATTTTTGAAGTGACCAAGTTTTACATTTTTTCCGATCCTCGTAAAACTTTGAAGAATAAATTCAGGTACCATACGATGTCACTTTTCTCCTATTTCTAATGTTTGTCTTTCCTTTGCAAACGAATGCAGGGAACGCAGTATCTTCAATTGAGAGTGCACACTGTTGTATCCTAGTTTTAGAAAATCCACACTTTAGAGTAATCATACATTTACTTTATGAGATTAGTGGCAGTAGCAAATGAATTTTGGAACATTGCATCGTGGAATCAGTTTGGTGCAACTAAACGTTGTGCGATTTTTTTTCCAACACTCATGACTTTCGGAAGATTATTTAGCGAAATTCTAAGAAGAACAGCAACAAAAAAGAAAAGTAAATCTTGGAAAAGGCAAAAAAACTTTGCTCAGCAAAATGTTTGCCCCATTTGCTGACTGTCAAAGCTCGCCATGAAGTTTCGAATAAAAAATTTTATATATTGGAGAAACTTAGTCTAAAAAGGGCCGGTCGCAAAAGTTGGAGATCACGGCTTTCGTCATAAGTATCACATCCAAAATATAATTTCTCAACAAAGAAGAATTTCTGCATCGAATACTTCAGAAGTATTTGATTTTACTCTACCGTATTTCTACATGGATTCAAAACCAACAAAAATCACGCACGCCTAAAATGATTTACGGAAAAGATAAAGGAAGATAAAATAAAATTGCAAGCCTACTTGTGCATTATCGCATTCAGAGAACAGCGAAATTGTTGAATTTAGCTTCATACTAACCTTGGCTTTCGACTTCGTGCTATTGAGCATACTACCCAAATGTTCCCAAACAAGCCAGTAATGACAGTCAGCACATAGATCGAAATCGCTATCGAGAACGCCGTCATTCGTCTGAAACTTTCTGCATCAGATGAAAATCCCAAATTGGCAATATAAAGAATAGGAATATTTATGTAAAAGTTCAGTTTTGCCTGCCGAATCAACGCGATAAAAAACGCACACTCATAGTAAATGTTCTTATGAAAGCAAAAAGTATGAACAAAATTGCGATAAAGAGTACACAAATAAATGAATCTGCCTTTATTTCATACCGACAAATTCCAATATTCTTTAACAGCTTGCAGCCACATGCAACGTTCATAATAAAAACTTGCTAGATTGACAAAGCAAGAAGACATTCATGATTTTGCCAAGAAACGCTGTAGAATTCAAAGCTCGCTATCAAGGCAGCGCTGAAAGTGGTGCGAAAAGTACACAGAGTTTTTCTTTTCTCAAGATTTTTTGCTGAGTTTTACGGTGACATTAATCTGCTTTGAGCTTGTCTAATACATCTTGCGCTTTCATATTAACTCGCGTTGGCAAATCTTCCAACTATTGGATAAATAGTTTTGCAAATTTTTGTTACGTAACTTTCTATTTCCTGCGAATTCGCTGATTTTGATATGTTAAAGGAAGAGAAGTTTGGTCATGAAGAATTCTAGGATTTCCTCGAATCTAAATTTACCTTTTGTCTGGTTTACTGATCAATCTTTGTTCTTTGTAATCGAAATCTCTACGAGTTAAAACTTTTCAAATTTTTATCGACTTATTGATTTTGTTCTAAATCAGTTCCTCAATAAGTATGTATCATAAGATGCTAGATTTACTATAGATTTACCATGCAGGACTGATTGAGTTTTATCATTTCAAAAAATTTCACATTGCAATAGTTACGTATCGAAACAATATATCTGCTTTTAATATTGGATGAATCCAAGCTTTTTAGTTAAGAATGTGAGTGGAGTATAAAAAATGAGATGTGCTGTGTGCCTCACAATGAAAAGAAGAGGTAACAAGGTTAGGACATATAAAATGTTACGCGAGTAGAATAGATGTTCTACTGTTATATACTGTTTGACCATTACAATGTATTTTACGTCAATGACTCTTATAGCCACAAGATATGTATCACAACAAACAGCTTTTGCTCTGAGAATAGAATAGTGCATCATCAATGGCTTTGCTTATAAAATATTACGGTTGAAAATACCAAAGGTTTTATGCGAATGCTAACTTCAAAAAGGTATCCAAAAGAGCTTTAAAAAACTTCACATTTGTTATAAGAAGAGCTAGAATAATCAAAGATCAGAGTATTCGATTTTGAACGAGTTCACACTCTACCACACCTTTGAACTAATTACCGTGTTCTGAACTGTAAGTTTCTCAGAGCATCTTGAAATAATTTGCGGCATTAAAATGGTTCTACTAAAAGAGCATGTCGTATAGCCTATTATATGGATTTCCAATTCTTCAGTAGTTGTTACTCATCATATACACAATAATCTGCTTTCTGCCATGATTTTACAGCACAAAGAAGCAGCCACCTAATTTTTAAAATTGCACCGGCAACTGCAGAATCAAAATGTATAGGTTCTTATTGCTTAGTGCAGTCGTTTGTTACTTTTACATGATTTTATGCTGATTCTCAGTTAACATAGCGAATCTGCCGCCGCCGATCTGCTTCACTGCAGTTTGCAAAAATGGTGCAATTGCACAAAGCGGCTTTGAATGATCTATAGGCATAAGGCAAGAAAGTTATTGACCAATGTGCAGTTTCTCCGGGACCTCTATACATGCGAACGCTACCAACTCTCTGTGTAACGCATACTCCTGACAATTCGCGAACCTAAGAAATGTTGTTCTGTCAAATATTGCATTTTGAGGAAGATTTTAATATTTGCAGAGAATACATCTGCACTTTTAGGTCCTTCTATTATGATTTGAGACCTCACTTTAATATAAGCTTGAGGGAAGATTGCATCAGTGAATATGAAATGGGAGAATTTAAAAGTTTGTAACATTGTAAAAGAAAGTAGGAGAATTGCAAAGCGCTCATTTGTGTGACACCATATAGAAAAACACTCGAGTCGAATTTCACAGCATTATAGCGTATCTCAAAAAAAGCATACATGTTGAAAGTTGAGTCTATGTAAAGGATGTGCAAAAGTTACAATTGATTGATGCACTATATAGTATAGTCTACTGCTTTTTCATGCTCGTTTATTGCGATTTATATAGATTGGAAAGAAAAAAAAATGGGGTTTTCTATAACAGAGCAAGCAAGAGAACCCGAAAATATATTTGAGGGGTACTATTTTATAGAACAAAGCAAGCTCTACTAAATAACCAAAAATTCGCAAAAGTTTAAGCTAAGTTTGAAGCCAGAGTCCGTAAGCCATTCATAACGACGAAAAAGTGATCTTCGCCCTAGAAAATCCTACGAACCTCCTTCTTCCTCCTGCATGACCGCTGCTGGAGATTTTCTTTTATCTGTTCTGTGTTTACAACTTCTGTGTAACCAAGTTTCTCATTACTTCTTGCATCCTACTGAATCCTGCCACCTCCAAAATAAAATCTAAATTTTTCTGTTGGGGCCACGTCAGCTAGCTTGGCACCGGGGGCTCGCTGACACTCCTAAAAGGGAGAATCGTCATAATTTTGTAGGTGGGGGACGATGTCTTTTTATCTGTTTCTTAGTTCGTACTTCAGTTCTTGCTGAATTTAATTGGTTGTGTTTCTAATTTCTTTCTTTTTTTGGTGCACCCTGAGTGTAAAATGAAATAAAAAATAAATAAAAAATAAAATGTAGCAGACACAAAACTCATCCATGTATGCCTTACTAAAAAAATTTTCGGGATTGGAAACCAAGAAAAAGATATAAAACGAAAAGTGGCAAACTCCACCCATAAAAATCCATGGGTTCCTTTCATGGGCGCAGCTGTATGCTACAAACTTCCAAAAGGTTAAACATAGCATTTTGTACATGCTTCCAAGGACTAGAGCATGTATGAGTACCTGCTCTAGTCTTTGGAAAATATGAACGTCAGGAAAAAAAAACGAAAAAAGCGAGTTTTCTTTCTATCCAACATAATAGGTTCCATACATCAGAAACGAAATCAAATTTTTCGAAGTTGGTCAACCCACCCACCTTTTGAATTATTGATCAGTAGTCGGAATAGGTTGAACTAACGCATTGTTAGAAAAGGGTTTAGCAGTATCGAAACAATAGACAGTGTGCCGCGTGACTCGGTCCGAATCGAAACCGAAACAGACGGTTGAACTGCCCAAAGTGCTCTCCTGAATCAAAGTTTTGAGAACGACATGAGAATGGTACGATTTACGAGAAACTATGCATAAGACAGGGCATTCAATCAAAGTGGCGAGTGCAAAAAGCGGTGCGGTCGTCCGTTCTCAAGCATATGCAACACATGTAGCCGCCTAATGACCAGCTGGGAGCAAGGCGGCTTTTTGATTGAACGATCTAACAGAATGGTGGTAATGAGACAGTGAGGAGGATTTTCACTATGTTCAACTAAATAAGCAACATTTTTCCCAATATAAGCAAAGGGATGCGAAATAGAAGTGCAATATGTATGTAAGCAGATGTGTTGCTGCTCACAAAAACCAAATCAAATATCCTCGGTCAACTTTTTTTCTCAGAAAATTCAAACTCGTGACATCCTGCGGCAGCTTCTGCAAAAAAAGAGATCTTTTGAACTAGGTTTAGGAAAACCTTCGTTCGTAATACCTATTATACAGTTCTATAGACATCCATGTTCAAGATAAGTAATATGTAGTTGTTCCAATGCAAACGCAATCCTAATGGTGCTCGTGAAAATTGCTCAATGTAAATCAGCGAAAAAAGCTCTAGAATGAGCGAAAACTACGCAAGAAACGTAAAAGAAGAGAATTTACAACCATCCCGCAATCAGTAAAGTAATTTGTCGAATAAGAAAATAATGAATCGACTATTAAATCTTACACCAGAAAATGAGAATATCTAAAAAATGTATCGTTGATATTACCTTAAAAATGTATCGTTGATTTATTTAATGTATTGTGATATGTACTTTTGGGTGAATAAGATACTCTGTTTTTTGAACATATCTAGAAATTCATTCGGAATTAATAGGTCGATGAAAAACTCGATTATCATAACAATTCGCAGATGCACCCAATCAGCACAAGTATATTTATGATAATAAGTTGCAAAGTATAATTTCGGGAGTGCAAGTACTTTCTCTGCAGCTTCTAACAAGACTAAGAAAAAAATTCTGACGTTTTTGAGCTTGTGTTACAGTTATATTTGTTAACACTGGTTTGAATAGGGATTGGTAAGAATGCTATTTTCTTTCTAAAAAATGTTGAAACAAGGGAATTGTTCAATTTAGACTTTTCTGTTGAAATACAGTGATGGAAAATCAATAGTGCGATAAAGATAACGACAAAATTATAAAACTTTTTTTTGAGTTTTCTTGCAAAAAAAATTGCAGGGGTAAAGAGTTGATAGCAGAAAGAACCACGTGTAGAGCCATTAACCCAGGCGATTGTTATTCTTAGTTTTGCGAAGATGCGTATCTGATTGATCTAGTGGTGTTACACAGCAATAATATCAACACGTAGAATAACAAAGGTGCAGCTTTGTTGTTTCAAAAGTTCAAAAATGGGAATTGATACATATAATTCATCAACTCTTTACTTCCTCATTATTCGTACATTGTTAAAGTATGGCAAACGCATTTGAAGAGTGGGGGATTGGAACTTTTTCTAACGCTTGACCTTAAAATGATGGTCTAAGATCAGGACAAATTTCATTGGAAGAGTTTGCATGAAACCTCAAAATCAACGTCTCATCGAAAAACCATGCAGTGATTCATGCCCGTGTGATGATTTGTGTCATTGCGACGCGTTGTAATTTCATAATTGCTTATACTACACTGTTTGATGCTGATCTCAAACGCAGCGTCAATGAAATGGTAATTAATTTCCATCCATTCAAAGAAAAGTAATTAGGTAATGCTCAGGGCCCACGTGACGTGGCATTTGAGTTTGGAAACAAAGTCCAATT